CTAAGTGTTGCCCATGACCTTCTGTCCGTCCCATTTTCGTTTCCGCACTCTAACTTAAATTTTCCTCATCCAAATTTTATGAAACTCATACACTATGCTAATAACCAAAAATCGCAGACTAGAGTTCGAATTTGGGCAGTGAGTCACTTACCGTTCTATAGTTATGTCCCGTTATAACTTGGAAAATTGCAAATTTTTTCGATTCCGCACTAGCATCAATTGCTATCAAAAAGTAGTTTCACGTATTATAAGCAAGCTTTAGCGGAGGCATTCGTGTCCTCAGACACATTCTTCTTTTATTTATAGTTTTTTTGCAAGAACTATGATAGATAGAGAGAAGCTTTAAATAAAAAAAATGTGCAGTAAAGTAAAACCAACAAGTAGGATGTATTGCCCGTCAAAGATGTGTTTTTGAAGAAACTAGTTGGATAGAGAGAACTTGTAACATATACGTTTTAGAAGTAATTCAACCAGGAAAACTTTATCATAGATTGACACAAAGATGATGTTTGGGATGTAATGTACAATGTATAATTATTTTGATGTTAAATAAGGATATGTGATATGTTTCCAATGAGACAACAATGCACTAGAGCTCAAATGGGATGTAAGCAACTTAAGGTTACCGTACGGCCTTCAACAATGAACAAATCTCATACCGTATAGTCGGCTGTCAATACATAATTATGCAGTATCTTGGTATAGTTTCACTATAGAACATAGTTGAACAATTGATTATAACGGAAATTAATTACAAAAGCTTCTAAATGGAAGCTATCTAACACATTTAAACGATATAACAGCAAATGTCAACTGAACAGAATTTAGCGCATTCATCATGTGTCTGTCTGGATCTAGTTTACAAAGTCATAATGATAGACTGGTATTTGACAGTAGAACCATTACGTAATTTGTGCGTAATGAAGTGTGAATTCAATGTTCTTCTGGTTAATATATGTGTCGTTGGGTTGGTGCCCCATAAAAGTCAATCCGTGTCATTGACATATACCCCACATCTACCTTCATTCAGCTGTAATAGCATGTAATAGTTTTAAATAAATCATTAAGAATTAATATTTTTTTTAATATATCATATTTTGTATAAATGTTTATGTATTATCAATTATATAGTGGCTTGCTGGATTTTCTATTATAACACAGTGTATTCCGTTTTATTTTACTTAAAGAAGTCCGACCAATGTTATCTTGGACTATCGGACTAATCGGTGATAAAGTGTTTAACCAGGCGCTGGATTATTTGTAAGCAGTCGGTTGATCTTAGTTCAGGAGGGATCGTGTTCATTTTTTCTTATGGGGTTTCAAGTGTTGTTTTTGGTACATTGTAGAAGTTAGCTAAGGAATAAATACGCCACATCTGCAAAAGTATCGATGAGTATTAATTTCACCTCAAATATTACGAGCGCGGTCTCCTTACAGTACGAGAGATTACTCCGCCCAGTCAGTTAAATGCATGGAAAAAAGGGTTAACATTGTATTATTTCATGACACAAAATCTCTGCATGCAATTTGCAAAACCAACAAATAGAGACCAACAACCTTTTCAAAATTACACATAATTTGCTTACATTCATTTTTTTTCAATTTTGGTGGGAAAATATACGGAATAAACTTGCTTCTTGAGTAAATGCTAAAAATATACCACCTAGCCTATACATTATTTAATGCAATTTTCGTGACTTTTGCAGATCTTTACCATATAATATATGCTATAATCGGGTAAAGTGAATTTAAAGCAAAAACAGAAAAAAAAGAAGAAATCAGTCAGCCTCACAGGCGCTTGAGGAATGGACCCCCCTTTTCCGTATTTTTTAAAGTAAATATTTCTTAATAATTTAACTTATTTTCACTTGTTTGATTTGTTCTAACTCTTATTTATACGATTTTACAATGACAGCAGTTTTTATATGATACCCCTCTATTTTTTATTTTCCAGTGATTCGTAATATATGTAAAACACTTGCACAGAGGACTTAGTGTTTATCATAAAATTGAGAATGGAAATGGCCGGGGAATGTGTCAAGGAGACAACAACCCGACTAAAGAGCAGAAAACAGCCCAAGGCCACCAATGGGTCTTCAACACAGCGAGAAAATCCCGCACCCGGAGGCGGGCTTCAGCTGGCCCCTAAACAAAAATGTCTACTAGTTCAGTGAAAATGTACGTCACATTAAAACTCCGAAACATATCCATAAACTAAAATTAAAAAACATACAAGACTAACAAAGGCCAGAGGCTTCTGACTTGGGACAGGCGCAAACATGCGGCGGGGTTAAACATGTTTTGTGAGATCTCAACCCTCGCCCTACACCTCTAGCCAATGTAGAATAAACAAACACATGTAGCTATACGCACAGTAAAACTCAGTTTAAAAGAAGTCCGAGTCCGATGTCAGAATAGGTAACAAAAGAAACTAAGCAAATGGACAATGATAAATAAATTAACAAAGGACTACTAGCAGTTACTGACATGCCAGCTCTGGACAATGATAAATAAATTAACAAAGGACTACTAGCAGTTATTGACATGCCAGCTCCAGACCTCAATTAAACTGATTGAAAAAATATGTCTTCATGATATGAAAATCAAACACAATCCCTCCCGTTAGGGGTTTAGTATCATACCATCATAAAATATATGAGAAGAAAATAACCCGTATCATGCCAACAACTAGTTTTAGAATAAATTTGTTTATTCCCGATGCAAAGACCCTATGAGTGAATCAATATTAGTACCATAATATGCCATCTTTAGTGACCTGACAACAGTATCGTAACTATATCCCTTCTGATTAAGTCTGTTTAAAGGTTTGCTTAGCTTTTGAGGTGAATGACGACATTTTTGTGCTTTGTATAGAATATTACCATAAAAGATTAGATGTGAAATAACTGTACGTATAAGATGTCTGCATGTTGATTTATACTTACGAATGATGTCTTGTACCGATGATGAAATTTAGTAAATGTTTTGACTAGTTTGTGATATCGAAAACCCTGGTGTAATAAAATTTCAGTAAATAAATACAGAGATTTATTTCGTTAAAATCAAATACGTTGTACATACACGAGCGATTCGAACAAGTTGAGACATATAAACACCATAAGATTATATATGCATGTATTTGTTATGGGACATTATAAAAAATGAAACAACACGTTTTTAATTTCATGCGCGTCCGAAGCGCTTTTTCTGAATTAAACTTCATCAGGAACGCTCAATTGACATAGTACCAGACTTGTTAAATAATATCATTAACGTCATATGCAATGAGTTTTTTTGTAATTATAATGTAAGGAAATTGTTGAACCTATGACTGATTACATACTTAACTGAAGTCCTCTATGTACATTTTTTTACATTTGTTCCATAACGTACGTATAATGGACTATTTAAATATTTCATTCGGTGATTGATGATCAAAAGCTTTGGCTGCTTATTAACTTTCGGGTTTAATTGTTGCCGAACCGGCGAAGTTTACCGATTGTGACAACAATCAACACAGAATAATGGAGCACGTGAAAAATAAGTAAGATAATAAAGCGATATTTATTTTTTTCATATTTTCCATGCGTTTTCATTTTGTTAACTAAATTTTGTCATAACAGTCAGATGTGGATCCAGGATTTTGAAAGTCCATGTACGACGGTCTTCATTTTTCCATATTCTTTATATTTTTTGCCCATAATCCTCTATTCTTTGTACCTAATAGACCGAATAATCTGTTTCTTGTGTGTCCACACGGACACAAAAAAAATTAATAAAAATCCAAATGATAAAAAGGAAATATGATATGACATATATAAACACACAAGGGACAGATTATTCGGTCTATATACCTAAGCACCCCATTATTCTCTAATCTATTCTTTATTTTTATATAAAAATAAGATGTAGTATGCCAAGGAGACAACTCTCCACAAGAGACCAAATGACACAGAAAATTACCAACTATGGGTCACCGTGCGGCCTTCAATAATGAGCAAAACCCATACCGCATAGTCTGCTATAAAAGGCCCCCGAAATGACAAATGTGAAACAAATCACGAGAAAACTGATTTATGTACAAAATAATGAACGAAAAACATTTATGATACACAGAAACAAACGACAACCACTGGATTACAGGCTCCTGACTTGGGACATTTATGCCAATTTTTCTCTTTTCTTCATTTCCCCCTTTATTCTGCACATTTTGCCTATAATTCTTATTCTGTAAACCAATAAGCCCTTCCAGACCATCATGTACACGTGTTTTATAGTACCTATGGATGTGAAGTTTGGGGTATGTTTTCGGTTAACTCGGCTGCATGTAAGAAAAATTATCAATATATTTTAGAAAAAGTGTTTCAGTCAAACATGACACCTGAAAAATCACATATCAAATTTATGAAATATGTATTGGGTGTAAACAAAAAATCCAGTAATCTTGCTGTGACTTCTGAACAAGGGAGATACTAGAACTGAGTTTTTTTTTACCGAACTAAGATTTCATCAACCTTCACTATGGTTTTCAGTGAAGTTTGGGGTATGTTTTCGGTTAACTCGGCTGCATGTAAGAAAAATTATCAATATATTTTAGAAAAAGTGTTTCAGTCAAACATGACACCTGAAAAATCACATATCAAATTTATGAAATATGTATTGGGTGTAAACAAAAAATCCAGTAATCTTGCTGTGACTTCTGAACAAGGGAGATACTAGAACTGAGTTTTTTTTTACCGAACTAAGATTTCATCAACCTTCACTATGGTTTTCAATCTTAAGACAATCTTTCGAAGTTTACATGGCTATTTACACAAGAAAATTTAGATGTATATGTTTGGGAAAGTATTTATCTAATTATTATATTAAGTATCATATTACTTCAGTTACATTAATAATCACCAGAAACTCGTTTGACATGAGAGTAGGAGTTGGTAAAAATGGGTACGAACTTGAAAAGTGACGAGTCGACATGGATTCATTTTTTTTCTGTTATCTCCCCTAACTAAACTCTTCAAAGTAAAAATTTAGAGATTTGTGAATTTGCAGTTTTCACCGGGGAACATTTTCACAATGGTAAAATGACTGCTTTGAATTCAGCATACATCGTATTTGATGTCCAGGGCATCTTTGCGTTTTATTTTATTCAATTCTTGAAATAACATTTAGAAAAGGAAAAATGGAGCAGCAAAGAGAAACACATACAAGAAAAAAGGGGGAGGAAATTTAGACACTTGGCGAATAAAACATGTCCACACTGCTTTTATGTTAAATTCTGCATGCAATTCTAGATTTTGATAGTTGAAAGCATTTGTTAGTGTTTCAGAAAATTGAATAACGTTCCTTTGAATTAAAGAATTTTTGTTTATTGGGGCTTCTTTTCGACTTTTGGCTTTGCCAACCATCTGCAGGTCACATGTAGGTGTTTCATCTTTAGTGTTGGCTAAATACAAAAACGTTTGACCTGTCAACTCAGTTCAAATCCAGCTAATGGCAAGGTGTGTTAGACTAAAATCTTAATTGACAATAGGCTATTTCTCAAATCATGTTTTTCACTGGAAAAGATCGTCAATTTTGCATGCCTTATTGACGTCATTAACCAGATAGAAGGCAGGCCTGTATCCCTTCACTATTAGAGTTCAAGCACTTTCAGAATCGTCATTCTGCAGGGTAGTCTAGAAATAATTCATGTTTGTAAGTACTTAATCTTAGTTCCCATACATTTTAAAACTGAAGGGAGGGTGACCAACTTACTAGATTTTAACTTCCCAAATATTTGTGCAGAATAAGATCAAACTATTTCACCCGTTTACTCAACATGTATTGGAAGTGACGATGCCTACATTTTGGACAAATGGTGATGGAAGTCACATGACAGATTCAACTTAACTACTGTATCCAGGAACTGGCATATATCTCCCCTGTTGCAAGACATGCAAATGTGCTGTTTTCTTTTAATACATCTTATCACGATTTATTCCTATTCGGATAAGTTCTAAGATTACACAACTTTTCAAACCAGTAATGATTTGAAGCTATCTGGGGCCTTTTTCAAACAATGTATTGTGCATAAAACTTTTCATAGAGACATTAGAGACATGTTTAAACAATCGTTAACACACCAAACAAAGCATTTTCAATTACTTTAATTTTCCTTTAGAAACTGCTTCTTCAACTATCAAAATTTTAAAATGTCCGCTTTCCAAACTTTTTCCTCCCTCAGTTCATTGATGCTGACCTTTGTTTTGTTCTGCTTGACCTCAACAGGAAGTTGTCTAAGTAACTGTTTTTCCCAGATTGGAATAAATAGCTATAAGGTGTATATTACAATGCCGTCCCAGGTGTTATGCAAACAACATGTACATGTACAAAGGTTTATCAAAATAAAGTTCATACTAGTAACTTATTGTAGTTTCTTGCAAGTATTTATTTGAAGAAACATAAAAAGGTACAAAGCTTTAGTTGTTTATCATTCACAGATTTTACCTATTCTGTCTCTTGTTCCGAAATTTATTGCAGTCAAGTCAAAATCTTGTATGAGGAAAACACTAGCAAGTAAACTTTCTCATCAAAATGTTGTTGATTTAATAAAGAGTATAGCACACATGTAATTTCCTTGACGATTCCAGCTTTAAAGTGTTCATTGTTAGTTATCGGAACCAATATAAATGAACAAGTTACAATGTACTGTCAGTAAACAGAACCAACATCAAATATGAAGTATCCATTTTCAGGTGTGACCAAATTCCTTTCCCTTGATCATGATCTTCATTCTTGGTTGCCTTGATTGGCCCGAATGCCTTTAGTTAATAGTTACAAAAGCAAAAGAAATTAAAACAGAATCGAAAAGACCTGCTTGTCTGTACTCAGCATGCTCAGAGTAAATTTCCTGGTGTAAACAAGACCATTACAATTGTTTGTCATAAATGGTCATGTTCACACCTCAGGAAATTTATTCTGAGTACAGATATACATTGTACTTGTACAACTTGAAAAGTTTTGAAGCCTGGCAGGACATAGATATATAAAAGTTATACCAGCATGTAATTTTGTGTTTCAGAAAATTAAAAAAATTGTCTCTACTTTACATAGAAATAATTCTGTGGTGTAAACACACCAAGTTTTCCTGCATGTACAAATGTATTTTAGTAGTATGTAGTTTAATTAAATTGCTTTTACATTTTTAGAGTATTATGGAATATAATGGTGCGGCTATTGTAGCCATGAAAGGTAGAGATTGTGTAGCTATTGCTGCTGATAGAAGATTTGGTGTACAAGCACAGACAGTGTCTACTAATTTCCAGAAGATATTTGAAATGGGTGACAGACTGTATATAGGCTTACCTGGTCTGGCCACAGATGTACAAACAGTGTAAGTTATGGAGATTAAAGTACACAATGTACATTAAGTTAGGAGAGTGGATGAACAACACTGTGTTGTTTTAGTCATGTTTATAAATAAAGAGATGGAATGAGCATTTGATTATGTTGATGAAGAGATAGGATAAACAATAGCACTCACTGTGAATTTGAGATGAAGAACAGCAATAAAAGCCCTGTTCCTTTGCTTTTTGTGTGTTTTTTGCTGTGCATGTACTAATTTTGTGTCCTGGATGGATACCCCATATCCTTTGTATTTTTAATATACATGCATGTGTAGGTGATAATGGGATAGGACAAAGTCTATCATAGTCTTCATAGCTACTTTTGCAGGTGCGCTTTTTTTAGTACTATTACTTTAAAGTACTGAAAATGTACCTAAAACATCAATTCAGAGATTCAGATAATTTGGACCCTTCAATTAATCTAATGAACAAAATTAGAATAAGCGTGCAATGATGCAAAACTGACCATTTATCTATCTTTACATATACGGTACATGTACAATGTATATAGAATGCCTGTCAAAGTACAAAATTAACAGAGCAGGGAGATTTTTTCTGTTCATACCCCTCTCAATAAGTTCGATTTTTTCATGTCCTTACTACTCCTCCCTGATCAATAGCAACACATAAAAGTTATTGAAACAAAAATTAGTTTATGCCATTTAACATAATTGCTTCAATTATCATGATTATGGGACAAAAAGTGTGATATTGAAAAAAAAATAATAGATCATATTTTTTTGTCTCTTATTTAAGATTCTTTACGAATTTGTTCAAGTCTGACATTTGAAACCAAAAGTTAACTTTGAATGTATTCTATTCAATTCTTATATCTATTTAGAATAGGAAGTACATGTACATGTATATGTATATAACAATGACAACGAGATTATATTTGTTCATATCCTATGGAAATAAAAAGGATTTATTTTTTTCTTTTGTATAATGTGATACTTAGATGTATTCCAACAAGAAACATGGATTGACAAAAATTGTCTTTTTGCTTGCTTAGAAAAAAATAGAAAAGATATGTTTGGTGTCAATGTTACACTTTCCTTTTTGTGCTAAGGCATACTGTCACTGAAAAAGTGTATTTTAATGTCATTTGTTGATGAAAGGGTATCATAGTTTTCTACATGTATTCATGGGAAAACATATTTTAAAAATTGTTTGTTATTTTTTCAGATCACAGAGGTTACATTTCAGAAAAAATATGTATGAACTTAGAGAAAACAGAAAGATTAAACCTAAAACTTTTATGAGTATGGTTTCTAATTTGTTATATGAAAGAAGGTAAGAGAAAGTATTCTACACACTAGATAACAAATGTATAATGCTCATCCATATTCATGACCTTATCACATGGTATTATATTACAGTCTGTATTAAAAGTTCTAGGAGTTGTTGCCCCTGAAATATTGATTTTTACTGTTTTCATGACAATAACCTGTGTATAAGTGTATGGATCTCTAAGAAATTGTAACACAAGGTTCCATACCTCAAAATAAAGTTTGGGATTGATTTTGGAAGTTATTGCCTAAACCGTTTAGAGATTAGAGACCAAAAAGGGGTAAAAAAAAACTAGGATTTTCTGATTTCAGGACAATAACTTGAGTATAAGTCTATTGATTTCTATGAAATTGTACCACAAGGCTCCATACCAAAAACAAAGGATGGTTGGAATTGATTTTTGGGGTTATGGCCCTACCGTTTAGGAAAAAGGGGCCAAAAACAATACTTTTTTACTACATTATATAAATTTCTTATTTCTTGACCATTTTCTATCGGGTTTCATTCAAAAACTTGAATTCTTTGGGTATTTTTAATCTGCTGAATCTAACAATGTATTTAGATTTTGAGCCCTGTTTTTAAATTGGTCTACCGGTACATTGAAGTCCAAAGGGTCCAAAATTAAACTTTGTTTGATTTTAACAAAAATTGAATTATTGGGGTTCTTCAATATGCCGAATCTAAACGTGTATTTTGATTTTAATTTTGGAGCCCCTTTTTCAAATTGGTCCACATTCTGATCCAAAAATTAACTTTCTTTGATTTTTGACAAAAATTGAATTCTTGGGTTTCTTTGATATAATAAATCTAAACATGTATTTAGATTTGTGATTTTGGGCCCAGTTTTCAAGTTGCCAAAACAGGGTCCTTAATTAAACTTTGTTTTATTTCAACAAAAATTGAATATACGGGGTTCTTTGATATGCTGAATCTTCTTGTGTATTTATATTTTAGATTTTGGGCCCTATTATCTTATTAGTCTTCATTGAAGTCCAAAGGGTCCAAAAATTAAACTTTCTTTGATTTCATCAAAAATTGAATTCTTGAGGTTCTTTGATATGCTGAATCTAACCATATATTTAGATTTTAGGTTTTGGATATTGGACCAAAATAAGTAAATGTCCAATTTCTAATTTTTAAGTTTTTAGACAACATTCATTCTGTGTCAGAAACCTATGCTATGTCAAATATTTAATCACAATCCAAATTCATAGCTGTATTTCACAATTGATAGAAATTGAAAGTAGACTCATAGTTAAAAATAGATACAGCATCAGATTCTAATTTTAGAGAAGAAATTATGTTTAAATATAGTTTGAAATTTACTGTTGATTATTAGACATCTTGAAAAATAATTTACAGATAAGTTTTAAAGATTTTTAAAAGACATAGTATCAATGATAAATGATGTTTTGGAAATTGTTTTTTTTTTTATTTTTCAAAGAACTTCATGGTAGTTTGGTTTGTTATTATACCCCACGCAACGAGTTGCGGAGGGTATAATGTTTTTGACCCGTCCGTCCGTCTGTCCTTCCGTCCGTCCGTCTGTTCGTCCGTCAGTCCTGTTTCTTGTCATCGCAACTCCTCTCAAACCACACTACAGAATTTCACAAAACCTTTTTAGATAATAAGGACATACTATGTAGTTGTGCATATCGACAGGAAATAACGATTCAATTTTTTTTCTAGGAGTTACGCCCCTTTGAAATTATTTACTTTAATGTACTACTGCAACAGTTTGTCATCTCAACTCCTCTGAAACCACACAACAAAATTTCATGAAACTTTGTAGATAATAAGGACATACTACGTAGATGTGCATATCGACAGGAAATTATGATTCAATTTTTTTTCCAGGAGTTACGCCCCTTTGAACTTATTTGCCCAATATACTACTGCAACCTTTTGTCATCGCAACTCCTCTCAAACCACACAACAGAATTTCATGAAACCTTTTCAGATAATAAGGACATACTAAGTAGATGTGCATATCGACAGGAAATTACGATTCAATTTTTTTTCTAGGAGTTACGCTCCTTTGAATTTTTTTGCTTCAATATACCTCTGCAACAGTTTGTCATCGCAACTTCTCTGAAAACACACAACAGAATTTCATGAAACTTTGTAGATAATAAGGACATACTATGTAGATGTGCATATCGACAGGAAATTAGGAGTCAATTTTTTTTCTAGGAGTTACGCCCCTTTGAACTCATTTGCTTCAAATTACTACTGCAACAGTTTGTCATCGCAACTCCTCTGAAACCACACCACAGAATTTCATGAAACTTTGTAGATAATAAGGACATACTATGTAGATGTGCATATCGACAGGAAATTACGATTCAATTTTTTTTCTAGGAAATGCGTCCCTTTGAACTTATTTGCTTTAATGTACTACTGCAACAGTTTGTCATCGCAACTCCTCTGAAACCACACAACAGAATTTCATGAAACCTTTTTAGATAATAAGGACATACTATGTAGATGTGCATATCGACAGGAAATTACGATTCAATTTTTTTATACGACCGCAAAAATTAAAAATTTTTTGGTCGTATATTGGTATGACGTTGGCGTCGTCGTCCGAAGACACATTGGTTCTCGCACTCTAACTTTAGTTTAAGTGAATGGATCTCCATGAAATTTCACCATAAGGTTCAATACCACGAAAGGAAGGTTGGGATTGATTTTGGGGGTTATGGTACCAACAGTTAAGGAATTAGGGGCCAAAAATAAGCATTTTTGTAACTTCCAGACAATAACTTGTGTGTAAGTGTATGGATCTCTCTGACATTGTACCACAAGGTTCCATATCACAAAGGGAAGGCTGGAATTGATTTTGGGGGTAATTGCCTCAAAATTTTAGGAATTAGGGGCCAAAAAAGGGGCCAAAAACAAGCATTTTTCTAGTTTCCAGACAATAACTTGTGTTCAAGTGTATGGATCTCTCTGAAATTGTACTGCAAGGTACCATACCACAAAGGGAAGGCTGGGATTGAGTTTGGGGGTGATGAATCATAAGGGGGTTCAAAAAATTTGGGGGGGGGGGGGGTTTCTTTTTTTTTCTTTTTTTCCTTTTTTTTTTCTTTTAAAATTTTCCATTTCAAGTTGGTTATTTCTGATTTATATTTAAAAGCAAATAATAATGATATGGTAGGAGATACACACCAAACAGGATGTGTAAATTATTATATAATAAGTATTGTGCAATAGCAAGAAATTTTCAATTGCACAGTATTGCACAATAGCAAGAAATCTTCAATTGCACAGTATTGCGCAGTAGCAAGAAATCTTCAATTGCACAGTATTGCGCAATAGCAAGAAATATCCAATAGCACAATATTGTGCAATAGCAAGAAATTGTCAATTGTACAGTATTGCGCAATAGCAAGAAATCTTCAATTGCACAGTATTGCGCAGTAGCAAGAAATCTTCAATTGCACAGTATTGCGCAATAGCAAGAAATATCCAATAGCACAATATTGTGCAATAGCAAGAAATTGTCAATTGTACAGTATTGCGCAATAGCAAGAAATATTCAATTGCACAGTATTGTGCAAAAGAAGATACTTCGTATAAATTGCTTATTTCTTGATCAATTTCAATGGGGTTTATTCTTGAATTCTTGGGTTTTTTTTAATATGCTGAATCTAACCGTGTATTAAGTTTTTGGATTTTGGGCCCCGTTTTTAAATTGGTCCACATTGAGGTCCAAAGGGTCCAAAATTTAACTTTGTTTGATTTCATCAAAAATTGAATTATTGGGGTTCTTTGATATGCTGAATCTAACCGTGTATTTAGATTCTTAATTTTTGGTTCCGTTTTCAAATTGGTCTACATTAAGGTCCAAAGGGTCCAAAATTAAACTTAGTTTGATTTTAACAAAAATTGAATTTTTAGGGTTCTTTGATATGCTGAATCTAAACATGTATTTAGATTTTTGATTATTGGCCCAGTTTTCAAGTTGGTCCAAATCGGGGTCCAAAATTAAACTTTGTTTGATTTAAAAAAAAATTGAATATATGGGGTTCTTTGATATGCTGAATCTAACCATGTATTTAGATTTTGATTTTTGGGCCCCGTTATCAACTTTGTCCACATTGAGGTCAAAAGGGTCCAAAATTAAACTTTGTTTGATTTCATCAAAAATTGAATTCTTGGGGTTCTTTGATATGCTGAATCTAACCATGTGTTTAGATTTTGGATATTGGACCATAATAGGTGAATGTCTAATTTAAAATTTTTAAGTTCTTAGACCACATTCATTCTGTGTCAGAAACCTATGCTGTGTCAAATATTTAATCACAATCCAAATTCAGAGCTGTATCAAGCTAGAATGTTGTGTCCATACTTGCCCCAACTGTTCAGAGTTTGACCTCTGCGGTCGTATCAAGCTGCGCCCTGCGGAGCATTTTATTTCTATGAGTTACGCCCCTTTGAACTTATTTGCTTAAATGTACTTCTGCAACAGTTTGTCATCGCAACTCCTCTGAAACCACACAACAGAATTTCTTGAAACTTTGTAGATAATAAGGACATACTATGTAGATGTGTATATTGACAGGAAATTACGATTCAATTTTTTTTTCTTACACTTATTTTATTTCTCCAATGAAAATGTGGGGAAGTGGGGTATGTGAGTGCGCTTACTAAGGTTCTTTAATTCTGTATGAACTAATTTTCAGAATGCTATATATATAAATATATATATAACTCGTCTAAATAAATTTGCTTCGCAAATTTTGTGTTCTTCCCTCGCTGGGATTCGAACTCATGCTACTGAGATATCGTGACACCAAATCGCCTGCACTGTATCTGACGCGCTAGACCACACGACCACCTAGGCTTCACAATAATAAAGCATATACAAGTCTAAATTGAAAACAACGTTCAAACCTATGATTGTGTTGGATAAAAAAAACGCAATTTTTTTACGAAATGCATGCAAAACAAATTTCTTGGTAGAGGGGTCTTAATACAACACAAACAACATTTTCCAAAAGACCAAAAAGTGAAAAAGTATAGTTTAACAAATCGCATTTGACTAACAGGTTGAACAACTGATGTTCTTAAACCCTGCTGACTGCCATTGGTGATTGCCAAATAAACGTATCACCAGATGTAAAAAATGGATCTTAATTATTAATTTAATACTAAACAGAAAACATATATATATATATGTATTTTTTTTTGATGAAGTGAACCTCTTTAAAAACTTATCTCACATTGTCCAATAATAAATTAAATAATTAAATTCTTGGTTTACTTGGATATGCTGAATCTAAAGTATTTAGATTTTGGGTATTGGACCATAGAAGGTAAAAGTCCAATTTCAAATTATTCAGTTCTTTGACCACATTCTTTCTGTGTCAGAAACCTATACTGTGTCAAATATTTAATCACAATGCAAATTCAGAGCTGTATCAAACTTGAATTTAGTGTCCTTACTTGCCCCAACAGTTCAGGGTTCGACCTCTGCGGTCCTATCAAGCTGTTATTTTTTGCTAATGAGAAACTGGAAAAAAATCAAAATTAATCATTTGCACACGGTCACCTGTCCCAATTGTTTTATCAAGTTAGAGGTTGACCTTGTATTATTATGGTTAAACTTTCAACATAAAATTCATATTCCGTGAGAGACTTTCAATTGATAGTAATGAAGGAATTCATCAAATTGTGTAACCTTATTTTTCTTCTTTTTTTTCCAGATTTGGGCCATACTTTGTTGAACCAGTTATAGCTGGTCTTGACCCTAAGACATTTGAACCTTACATAGCATCAATGGATCTCATTGGTTGTCCCATGATAACAGATGATTTTGTTGTTAGTGGAACATGTAGTGAACAAATGTATGGCATGTGTGAGTCACTATGGGAACCAAACATGGTAATTGTATTTAAGACAGACAGCTAGATACCATAAACATACTATGTATACACAGGCCAGAGTCTGAGCTTGATTTGCTATATGATATCAAAACTAAACTGACAAAAAAAGGTCATTTATTCAAAATCATAAAATGCAAAAAATACATTTTGCAAATAAAACATTTGACATAAAAGTTCATATTTAATATGAAATAATAATACATAATTAATACGAAATTACATCAACTAATATCATATCAATTGAATAAATGACAAAGAATAGCAAAGGTGGGGAGAAAAATCTGCCCCACAAATAAACATATATACATATCTACTTCAAAAGATAACATTAAGGGAGGTATATATGTGGGTGGGAATTTTTAACAAATTGTTTGATAAGAATCACAAGTTAACACATCAAATGCTGATGATAAAAGGAAGTGACCACAACGCACTTACACGTGAACTGTGAACTCGTGCTGACCCCGCAAGATCATTGACCAATAAGAAAGATGTAATCCAATCATGCACTGGTCATAAGTGAAATTTCTCTGCGTGTGAAAACATGTTATCTAATTTATCGTTTGATTAAGTAGGACACTCTGACCCTTTGACCAGACTAGAGACATCATAAATTTACAGTATAAATAGCTAACTCTTTATTTAAGTCTTAGTAATAAACAATTAAAACAGAATTATCTTCTCTGCTGTCTTAAATTATTTTATTCAGCTTAATTTTCAATTAGCAAATAAAATTGGTTATGATTCACAAAAAGGAGTAACCAAATATATTGCCCAGTACAACAGAGAACACATAACACCTAAACTTAATTATCAGAAAAATGGATGTAAAAACAACAAGAAACAAGATATGGTCAAGATAGCTTGACATGCACAACATCTTCTAGGGTTAAACTGATTTTATGTGTGCAAAAACATACCCCTTTCAACACATCTTACTGCTCCATAATAACACCCTGTGTTACTGATTTATAAATCCAATGAGTCTGACCATAAGACATTACCAAATTTATAGACCCATTTCTTTTTATGGCCCCGCCGTAGCAGAGGGGGCATTAAGTTTTACCCTTGTCTGTCTGTACGTCCGTCTGTACGTACGTCCCATAGTTGGTTTCCGTTCTCTAACTTTAGTTTACCTCAACCAAATGTTATGAAACTTATACACAATGCTTATTACCACAAAACACAGATCAAGTTTGAATTTTGGTGGCATCACTTTAACCATTCTAGAGTTATGCCCCTTAACAAATGGAAAAATTGCTGAATTTTTCCTTTCCGTTCTCTAACTTAAGTTTGCCTCAACCAAATGTTATGAAACTTATACACAATGCTTATTACTACAAAACTCAGATCAAGTACAAATTTTGGTAGCGTCACTTATACTGTTCTTCAGTTATGTCCCTTTATAACTTAATATGATATGCAAGCGGGGGCATCATCTCTGTCCCATGGACACATTCCTCATTTATTTAATTTTAACTATTATATTACCACTTGTCATATTTATCACATTAACAGGAACCAGATGATTTGTTTGAAACAATATCTCAGGCTCTGTTAAACTCAGTAGACAGGGATGCAGTGTCTGGATGGGGAGCAGTAGTACATATCATGTAAGTAATTTAAGCATTTGAAAAAGTTGTTGTTTTTAAATTAGTAAACAAATCCTGAAATTTGAAAATTAATAGATATGACATGTCAAGAAATTATGGAAAAAAATATGTGCAGCTGAAGAAAATAAGTCACTTTTGGGTAACAATGTTACTATAGTTTCTTAATAGGTTCATATGAGCCCAAACTTCTGACAAGAAGCTTCATTAATATGGCTGTTATAGACTTATTATTAGCTATCATATGTATATATATACAAACTGATTGAAGATAAATTTGTGTACACACGGTCTAATATTGGAATATTGAAATGGAACCAAGTATTATATGACAAGTTATAAAATATTCTAATTATACTTGTATGACGTTCTTCAAATGCTTTGAGTACACAACCGTAGTAAAATATGATTATATTGTATGTCAGCTGATTGGCAATGTCATGATATTTTTGACTGTACCTATCGTACTCCTACGTCGTATTCAATTTATGAATTGGTTACCTGAGGCCAATTGGTGTAAATGACGTCATTGAACGAGGACGTAAGACTATAAGCATTCTATGGGAAAATGCAGGAATGTGAAAAGGATAGTTTTCAAAGCAGGGAAACATAAACAATGATAAAAATTTGTTGAAAGCCAATTTTCTTAAATAAAAGAAGGATAATCATTTAACTTTATCCAAACCTGTCTAATATAAAAATAAGGAGATGCCAATGAGACAACTATCCACCAAAGTTCAAATGAAGTGGATGTAAGCAATTATAGGCAACCAAACAGCCTTCAACGAGAAAAACCCATACGGTAGAATCATCTATAAAAGGTCCCAACATGAAAAATATGAAACAATTCAATTGAGAAAACTAACAGCTTAATTTATTACAAAACAAGTTTGTTATTGTAAATAATTTAAGCATGTCACTAATTCAGATTTCTTCGTTTTTTAAAGGCAGTGCTTTAATGCCTTTCTAGTTGCCGGGTTAATCCTTCCTTCCGCGATATCCAACTTATCTACGTGGGGGGTCATTAGACTCCAAGTAGATCCAGAAATGTTGAATTCTCTCCTCTTCTTATTGCGATATAAAATGTTTTTTGTTTCATTTCATTTACATTGGGAAATAGAGAAACGATCATTGTGTTTTGTTAGTTTTAAAAACTTTTGATATATTAGTATTTTGCATTATAAGCAGTCAACCGATTGACAAACTAGAATTATTTGAATTCCGTGTGGAAAGAGCTCGGGTTAATTTCGAGTGTTATCTGCAATCTAGATGTTTATAAATCATTTCAGTCGTTGATATAATAATAAAAGGTCGACTGAACATGAATTATATTATACAATTTAAAGCGCATTTCTGTTTATGCACGTGAACCCGTCTAACGTTATTTTCGCAGTTATATAAAGTAGCAAATTATCGTTCCTGAATAGGTGGCGCCGTGGTAGCGGATCCTGTTCCTCTACTTCCGGTTTCTGCACTGTGCAACTATTTCAGTTATATTTTTAATTAACGATGCCAAGTACTTGTTGTTGTGTACCTGGATGTCATTTAAGAGGAGGACATGCATTTCCAAATGACTTAAAAAGAAGGAAAAGTTGGATCAACGCCATGGCCCATACGCAGATTGGACGAGAACACGATGATGTCGTGGAGTCCATCTCAATCAGCTGTTGTTTGCAAGGCACGTTTTACTGAAAAAGACTACGTGCAGGAAACTATTCATGGTAACATTCTATTTTCTTTGTGAAATATATAGTTATATATGTAATCGCCATGCGAATAAACCAAAGTCTGTTTACAACCGCAATTATCGTTTTAGAATAAAAGGGGGTGGGTAATTCAAGACGTCATAATTTTTTGGATTACGATTCAATGTGATCTGTTTGAGATTTTTTGGTGATTGCTACAATTATAATGATTTCTTACAAGAGGTATATCATACTGAGAATTATTTTAGCAGTAATTATGCTAATGTAGTAATGACAGGAATGCATAAGCTATGCCTCATAGACTTTCTTGAAAAATATCAATGACAATGTTAACAGGAACAAAACAATGACATGCTCTCATCTATATTATAGTTATTTAGGTACAAACAATGTACGTTTGTTGCATAAGTCTCTCATTGTTTGTCCTTTGGATTTACATAACATACATTGAATCAGGCAAACATAGTTTTATCCAGATTGTAATGAATAAATCTAGTTAATATTTCGCCAGGTAGTACAAAGTATACATATATGGCATGTCAGTTAACTGCTAGTAGTCTGTTGTTATTTATGTATTATTGTCATTTTGTTTATTTTCTTTGGTTACATCTTCTGACATCAGACTCGGACTTCTCTTGAACTGAATTTTAATGTGCGTATTGTTATGCGTTTACTTTTCTACATTGGCTAGAGGTATAGGGGGAGGGTTGAGATCTCATAAACATGTTTAACCCCGCCGCATTTTTGCGCCTGTCCCAAGTCAGGAGCCTCTAGCCTTTGTTAGTCATGTATTATTTTTAATTTTAGTTTCTTGTGTACAATTTGGAGTTTAGTATGGCGTTCATTATCACTGAACTAGTATTTATATTTGTTTAAGGGCCAGCTGAAGGACGCCTCCGGGTGCGGGAATTTCTCGCTGCATTGAAGACCTGTTGGTGGCCTTCTGCTGTTGTCTGTTCTGTGGTCGGGTTGTTGTCTCTTTGACACATTCCCCATTTCCATTCTCAATTTTATTGCTAATGGAAGTTCTTTTAATTATAAAAAAACTAATGTTTTATAACCTTTTTCAGGGCGCAAACCCACCATACAGAGACTTAAGTCTACTGCAATTCCCAGCCTATTTTCCTGGACCAAGCAAGAGACTGAATCATTCGCAAAAAGAAAAATCAGGGCAGTTTCCTGTGAAAACAAAAGAACTAAACTTGATAAATATTGTAGTAGAAATCTAGAGGAAAGTTTTGATTGTAAAGTTGGTTTTCCTGAAGAAGTCATTCATACTGCAGAAAGGATTTATGACTGTCCACCACCAACTGCCGAGCTAATGTTGAGCTTCACAGATGGAATTACAGAAACACCATCAATGCCTATGTTTTCAGCAGAGAATTTTGAAATGAAGACACGTGACACAGCCATGCATTTTTATACCGGTTTAGAGTTGTATACTAAATTTTTATTTGTTTTGACCACACTTGGTCCAGCAGCACATTGTTTGAGATACATATATTTTCAAATTGATAGGGTGTCAGTTGAAAATCAGTTTTTTTATGACTTTGATGAAATTGAGGCATCATACAACCAACTTTGAACTGTCTAGATTCTAGATTGAATCTAGTGTTAAGAATATTGTGTATACATGGATTGTTTTTATGTCTAAACAGTGGTGTGAGGCTAACACTTGGCCATCTAGTGGTTTAGTCAGGTGTTTTTCACCATCCAACTTCAAATTAAAGTTTCCTACGACTTGGATTATTATTGACAGCACAGAATATCCCGTGATAAAACCTAAAGCTCCTAGAGCTCAGGCAACCTTTTCATCAAATAAAAACAGAAACACTGAAAATTCTTGAATGTTCGACACCTGGTGGTTTAGTCAACTATGTCTCTATGTCACATAGAGCGAATTATTGGACTTGGAAAAACATACAAAATTCTAATAAATCCTATGAATGGAACTGAAACAAAACTTTCATCTGAAATAACATTTAGTTGTTTTATGTTGTGTAATTTTAGAACTTGTATTGTGCCAAAGGATGCATAAATAAAAGTGACGCAATGAATTTTGTTCTGATATATATATATTTACAATTACATGCACATGTAAATTGTAATGCATATAAAAATAAGGAGATGTGGTATGATATTCAGTGAGTTTATCAAACTAAAGTGCATAAGAAATGGGTTTAAGCAGTTACAGGTGTTACTGTCACCGTACAATCTCCAACAATGAGAAAAACTCGTACCCTGTAAAAAATTTCAGAGATCTTACAACTAAGTTTTGTTGTCTCACCTTGACTTTGGTGAATTTTTTATATCTGTTGATGTAAATATAAAAAAGAAGATGTGGTATGATTGCCAATGAGACAACTCTCCACACATGCACAAGAGACCAAATGACACAGAAATTAACAGCTATAGGTCACAGTACGGCCTTCAACAATGAGCAAAGCCCATACCGCACAGTCAGCTATAAAAGGCCCAGAAATGACAATGTAAAACAATTCAAACAAGAAAACTAACGGCCTATTTTATGTAAAAAAATGAACAAATATAACAAATATGCAACACATAAACAAACGACAACCACTGAATTACACTTTTATAGGCTCCTGACTTGGGACAGGCACATACATGTACATACAGAATGTGGCGGGCTTAAACATGTTAGCGGGATCCCAACCCTCCCCCTAACCTGGGACAGTGGTGTAACAGTACAATATAAGAAAGAACTATAAAAATCAGTTGAAAGAGGCTAAACTCATCAGATGGATAAATACAAATATAAGTGGGCGTGGTCGGGTAGTTGTACATCCAAACAACAAAAAGACACTAAGTACAAATCTGAGAGTACTCGCAGTTACTGACAGCTAGTTCAAAGCCACTAACAACTGATAAAAAAATCTTGCATCTAAGACTAAATTATCAATCCGTAAGCTCCCTTTAGAATTTTATAAATTTTAGATTTTACATTTCTGAGTTATGGGGTTTTATTCATTAAAAAAGGGGGGATTTTCCAGTTTTTGGACAACAACTCAAAAATGCTTTAAGCAGTTCACATGAAACTTTGGTGAATTATTTATAGCTATTGATGTAATCTCCCTATTGATTTTCATAAATTTCAAATATGACATTGAGAAGAAATTGAACTTTATTTGATTATAGTCTGGCAACAGATTTATTAAGTATTGCACAACAGCACAGTGTATTGCACAACAGCAAGAAATCTTTAATTGAATATAAATTCAATTCATATAACCGATTTCAAGTTCATTGACTACATTTATTCAGAAACTATAATATGTCAAATATTTAATTACAATCCAAATTCAGACCTGTATCAAGCTTGAATATTGTGTCCATTTTTGCCCAAGCTGTTCAGGGTAGTACCTCTGCGGGTGTATCCAGCTGCGCTCAGCGAATCAGTTTATTTCTTAATTAAGAACTCCTTTTTATACGACCGCAAAAACTTTTTGTGGTCGTATATTGGTATGACGTTGGCGTCGTCGTCGTCCGAAGACACATTAGTTTTCACACTCTAACTTTAGTTTAAGTGAATGGATCTCAATGAAATTTTAAAATAAGGTTCAATACCACAAAAGGAAAGTGGGAATTGATTTTGGGGGTTATGGTACCAACAGTTAAGGAAAAAGGGGCCAAAAATAAGCATTTTTTTAACTTCCAGACATAACTTGTGTGTAAGTGTATGGATTTCTCTGACATTGTACCACAAGGTTCCATATCACAAAGGGAATGCTGGGATTGATTTTTGGGGGTAATTGCCTCAAATTTTAGGAATTAGGGGCAAAAAACAAGCATTTTTCTAGTTTCATGACAATAACTTGTGTGTAAGTCTATGGATCTCTCTGACATTGTACCACAAGGTTCCATATCACAAAGGGAATGCTGGGATTGATTTTTGGGGGTAATTGCCTCCAAATTTTAGGAATTAGGGGCCAAAAAGGGGCAAAAAACAAGCATTTTTCTAGTTTCATGACAATAACTTGTGTGCAAGTCTATGGATCTCTCTGACATTGTATCACAAGGTTCCATATCACAAAGGGAATGCTGGGATTGAATTTGGGGGTAATTGCCTCCAAATTTTAGGAATTAGGGGCAAAAAACAAGCATTTTTCTAGTTTCATGGCAATAACTTGTGTAAGTGTATGGATCTTTATGAAATTGTACTACAAGGTTCCATATCACAAAGGGAAAGCTGGAATTGAGTTTGGGGGTAATTGCCCAAAAAGTTTAGGAATAAGGGGCCAAAAATAAGCATTTTTCTAGTTTCCAGACAATAACTTGTGTTCAAGTGTATGGATCTCTCTGAAATTGTACTGCAAGGTACCATACCACAAAGGGAAGGCTGGGATTGATTTTGGGGGTAATTGCCTCCAAATTTTAGGAATTAGGGGCCAAAAAGGGGCAAAAAACAAGCATTTTTCTAGTTTCATGACAATAACTTGTGTGTAAGTCTATGGATCTCTCTGACATTGTATCACATGGTTCCATATCACAAAGGGAATGCTGGGATTGATTTTTGGGGTAATTGCCTCCAAATTTTAGGAATTAGGGGCCAAAAAGGGGCAAAAAACAAGCATTTTTCTAGTTTCATGGCAATAACTTGTGTGTAAGTGTATGGATCTTTATGAAATTGTACTACAAGGTTCCATATCACAAAGAGAAAGCTGGGTTTGAGTTTGGGGGTAATTGCCCTAAACGTTCTTTTTTTTCTTTAAAATTTTCCATTTTAAATTGGTTATTTCTGATTTATATATAAAAGCAAATAATAATGATATGGTTTGAATAGGTAAATTAAATTTTTTTAAGTATCTTAGACCACTTTCATTCTGTGTCAGAAACCTATGCTGTGTCAAATATTTAATTACAATCCAAATTCAGTGCTGAATCAAGCTTGAATGTTGTGTTCATACTTGCCCCAACTGTGCAGGGTTCTACCTCTGCGGTCGTATCAAGCTGTGCCCCAGCGGAGCATTTTATTTCATTCATAAATTACTTTATGCTTGGAAATATAATTTTGCTTGGAGTTGAAAGAGTTGACATGTTGCAATGTACATTTACTCTACATAGTTCTATGGTACCAAATCAAAAGTTTATATAAAGAAAGAAGTCAAAGGTTTCCCATCATAGTTTAGTTACATACATTTTTTTTGTACCTGAGGTCGTTGAATATAGATTATTATATAAATAAGGAGATGTGTTATGATTGCCAATGAAAAAACTAAGGATTTTCTTATCCAAGGAATAGATTACCTTAGCCGTATTTGGCACAACTTTTTGGAATTTTGGGTCCTCAATGCTCTTCAACTTTGTACTTTTTTGGCTTTGTTACTATTTTGATCTGAACGTCACTGATGAGTCTTATGTAGACGAAACACACGTCTGGCGTATTAAATTATAATCCTGGTACCTTTGATAACTAATTTGACTATAAACATAGATAAAAAAGGTACAAACTGGACATAATGCACTAGTTCATAAACAAGTGAGAACAATCGCCTTCATATAGTGCTCAGAATATGACATTCATAAAACTTATTCAATATCATTAGAGAACTCTAAATCTTAAATACTGAAAGCCACCTCTGATAAGTACACTGTACTATGCAAGATAATGATATAACTGGACTTAAAATACACACAACCTGTAATTAACTGCCTTTACAGCGCTTTCGTGCTTTGATTACATCAGCATTAGTAGTGTGTTTAATTACCGGAACATCAAATATTTGCCTTAACATAGAGCCCTTCCATCCAAAAGAATTGTTGTATTTGTCCTATTAGAATGGAAATAATTCATGGGGGCTTGAATTTATACTGATTTTACCATGAGTTTGCCCGTCATGCCAATATTTTACCCCTCACTATTGCTCGTGGTAAAATATTTAGCATAAAGGGCCAAACTGTGATAAAATCAGTATATATTCAAGCCCCAATGAATTATTTCCTAAATTTATGATAAGTGTTCATTGTAGTTCTACGTGTGATCTGATTTTAATGTTAATTAAATCCTTACCTTTTTATAGATTATTACATTGCATTCTCATCTTAAACCAGGTATATGTGAACCTTTCCAGAGCCATCCCTCTCATAATTTTGAGTGCCAGGACAATGGAACAAATACAGAATGTAGCATGTTGTATCGATTTAAAATGACAGAAATATTTTATTTTTACCCATTTTTTTGGGGGACATATTATTGTTTAAATTTGAAAACATGCAAGTGTTCAACTAAGTTTGTTTTTTTTATTTCAGAGAAAAAGATAAAGTTACAACTAAAGAACTTAGAGGAAGAATGGACTAATGTTTGGGTCCAAATGACCAACAAAATATCTCATCAGTTCATTCATGTTATAACTTACAGATAGTGTGATAAGTTGTATAAGTGCTATTGACATCGTTCTGATTATTAAATTCACTTTCTCTATTCTATTATTTGTTTTGCTTTAAAATCGAGAGAGAAAATCTAAGCATTTAATCCAGGTACAAAAAATTAAATATTTGACCAGCAGTTAATGAATAAATGATATGAATACATGTGATATGACTCATTTTGCATTATGAGCACAAACTTTTAAAAGTACTACATCACTTGAATACTTTCATATTGCTTTAAATTACATAGTAAGCATTTAAAATTATTCCAAGTAAAATTACAGCATTCATTAATATGACAATAAAATAAATGACAAAAATAATGTAATGTATCATCATCCTCCAAGTGACTGACTTACATGTACATGTTGATTACAGTCTATCAACCATCCCACAGGTTTCAAAATAGTCAAAAGTTTCCATATGGTATGAAAGTTTGTAAAAGTACTATGTGGCATGTTTAAGCCAATCATATTAAACAGATTGTATAAAATGAAGACACTGTAAATATAAAGGTATATAAAGGAAACAAGCTATGGTTGTTAATGCTGAGGCTTCAGTTTGTCAATAAACTGGTTTGTTAACTTATTTTATCATTTGTCTTGACCAAAAATAGACAACATAAACAAAAAATCAAGTAAGATTAAGTTTTGATTTTATTTCAGTTCACACTGAAATGTTTTTTTGTTTTTTTTACATAAGAAACATATTAATTCATTTAAAAATTCTACTGATTGTAGAAAACTTTGGTTATTTGGAGTATTTTCCCCATTACTACATTTTTATGGAAAAGGACAAATTTAATACGACATGTTGCTTATCACAAATGTGTGTGGTTAATTGAAAACTAAAGGTCAGATCTTTGCTATTGAACTTTGTATATGTCCTAGGATTTATAAAGGTGTTATTTTTTCCAGCTGTTAACCCATGTTTTAATTACTTGGCCAGCAATTACCACTTAAGAAGGTATAAACAACTTACAGGGTTGTTTATTAGTTATGAAAAGGACATTGAGAATAATCAATCATTGCTACAGGATTTATATACTTCAAAAGCATGAACTTTTACCACTGGCTGAATTGGTGTTATTTACACTAAAAAGAGAGGTTATAATAGGTTAAAACTTTTCACACTTTACATATTAAACACTAAATGACTAATAGAATTTTAATGTTAATATGACATGTAAATTATCAACAATGTTTCTTTTAGTTTAAGTATAACATGGTGTAGGATTTAAAGATTGCACACAAAGTACTATCTCAACCCTATAGTCTTCTTTTCTACCCATGTTTTTGTGAGCACTTGCAACATGGTGCAATTGGGTTAATATAAATAAGAAGATGTGGTATGAGTGCCAATGAGACAACTCTCCATCCAAGTCACAATGTATAAAAAGTTAACAATTATAGGTCAAAGTATGGCCTTCAACACGGAGCCTTGGCTCACACCAAGGTATAATGGGCCCAAAAATGACTTAGTGTAAAACAATTCAAACAGGAAAACCAACGGTCTTATCTAAATAAAAAATGATAAACAAGAAACACCTATGAACCACACCAACAAACGACAACCACTGAACAACAGGCTTCTGACTTAGGACAGGTGCCTAAAAATGCAGCGGGTTTAAACGTTTTAACAGGCGCCAACCTTCACCCTAACCTGAGACAGTAGTGTTACATTACAACATAAAAAGACACACTATAAAATATCAATTGAAATGGCTTTACTCGAATCAAAAAGATATTTAAACAAAAACAAGTAAACATACACTGAACGAATAAATTTGATCTATGAGACAATATAAATACAATATTAAAACGTAGGTGTCTATATAACATAGACGTTACAGGTAGTAATAAAAAAGATGTAGGAAGAGTGTCTATAAGACAACTCTCACCTCGGACAAAATGGCGTTAATTCAAACAATGTACACAGGTAAATTTAAATATAATCATAATGTTGTTAGGAGTACGGAAGTAAACAGTTTTTTACAAAATTAATAAATTTGTTGTTCAGAGTACGAGTACAGAAATGAAAATTGATCGTCATACTAAATACTTATCAAAGGTGGTACATTTTAAAAATAGTAAGACGAGATAGAACACAAAAAAGTAAACATTGAATTACAGAAATGCATTACAAATTGTGTCAATATGTCAAATTAACACGAAAGTACGATTTGAGAGTTGCAGTTACTGAAAGCTAGTTAAAAGCCATAAACATTTAACAATAAAAAAAAGCATGCATCAGAGACTAAAATCAATTAAAACACATCCCAGGGATTAAGTTTTTTAACGCTTTGGACAGTCAAAGAAGACATGACTTATGCAATGCCAAAATAAAAGTATCGACAGATAGTAGGATCGTCAGGACTTAACCTTACAATAAATATGTATCATGTTATATAAAGATAAAGCAATCTCTAAATAGAAAATTATCGTGGATGTGTTTTTATACATTCCAAAAACCATTCGAAAAGAATACAAATTATGTTATGTTTTAAATTGTTGATGACAAAATCGATGTTAGTGCCAATGTAAACATTATTTATTATTAATTGATGTTAGTTCCAATGTTAACATTATTTATTATATTTAGCATAGCAAAATCCTGTTAAGTTTTTAAAAATCTGAAACTTAAAATGCATTTAGAATTAATTAATCTAAGTCCAACCATGCCTTTTAACTTTTCCAGTTGCACAGGTTTGTCTACTAGAGTATAGTTAAAATACATCCATATTTGCCAAAAGGTTATGGGGAACCTTAATACAATGCAATTAAATGCAAAATGAATTAAGAATAATTCATGGGGGCTTGAATTTATTGTCATCTTACCACGGGTTGGCACTTTATGCTAAATATTTTAATACGAGCGATAGTGAGGGGTAAAATATCAACACAAAGGGCCAACCCGTGGTAAAATCAATATAAATTCAAGCCACCATGAATAATATCTATTATGATAGGACAAAGACAGCAATTCTTTTGTTTCGAAGCGCTCTAGATGAAGGGAAAATCAAATGTTTGCTGTTCTCGTAATTGAACACACTTTCAATATTGACGTAAAATACAAAGAAAACTGAATAAGCGACATGCTTAAATAATTTACAATAACATACTACTACAGGTTTGGACAAAGTTGATTGATTATCCTACTTTTATATAAGAAAATGGGTTTTCAACAAATTCTTATCATTGTTTATGTTTTCATGTGTTGACGACTTTCAGTTTCAAATTCGTGCATTTTCCCGTAGAATGCTTATATTATTACGTCTTCGTTCAATGGCGTCATTTACACCGTCTGATCTCGGGTAATTCATTCATAAAAAAGCAAACGACGATGGAGCAAGATTGGAACAGCACAAACAATCCATGACGTTGACGATCAGCTGACATTTCAATATATTCACAGTTTACCACGGGTGTGTAGTACTCAAAGTGTTTGAAGAACGTCATATTAGAATGAAATTTTTACCACCTCACTACTCACAATCACTTTGATTAAGGAGTGTAAGCACAAACTGCAACAGGAAACAACTGTGAATATATATTTTTTAAACCAGATCTATGCAATCACTCCGGATTTTAAGATAATTTTAGATGGTACTGAATTCTGAGTTGAATACACATCTTGAATCTAATGATGTGTTTTATGACTTGCAGAAATTTTATACACCATTTGAACCATCTTCTGCCAACTACTGACATGTTATTTAGCCTTTAATTAACGAGAGAGAGGTCGAACAGCTACTAAATTTTGAATATACACTTGTATATAGTTCCTTTGTAAATCAAAATTTATAATGTATTACAATTTGTAAATTAAAGTGAAAAAGGTAATATATTTAATTTAAGCAGTTGATAAAAATTATGAAAGTATTTAATCAGTATCGTATGCTAGCGTAGTTATAAGTTATTGAACAAAATTTGGTGCAATATGTGTATTGATATCAAAGTTGATTCCAACACTTTTTTCAAATGCTAACTATTCCAATTCTTTCATAAGGCAAATAAGAGTACTGATACAAAACCAGTATGATTGACAACTGTCGTGATTTACAAACAAATAAACTTGTTTGCATTAATTGGAATCACCTCCACTCTAATTCAGTCTTAATAGACCACAGTTATTATCTCTTGTGTTACATAATTAAATAGACACTTTATTACACAGCTAACTTAATAAATAAGATGTGTAGGTTTTTTATCAAAGAAAATAAAAAATATATATATATATATATATAAAAATGCAAGCCAATTTTATTTTTACTTGTAAAATCAGTGACACAATCATCTGATATAAGTAAATAATTTACGTTAATAAAAGTTACAATTATCAGTGATTTGTTTGAAACAATTAATAGAATTGCATAACCCTTACCTGAGCATTTTCTGCAATAACATTTAATTGTTTATTCCCCTTCATATTGTTTTTTAACTGTATAAAATACTTGTACATTTATATTTCAATAAAGGAAATATATTTTTTTCTCCACGAAAAATGAACACCAATTTGAATAAAAAATATTTATTTATTTTTTATTGTTGTTCAAAAGGTGAGTTTTCAATTCCTTTTTCTGGAAATTATTAAGTCAAAATAAAACAAATATACTACACCTTTCAAGATTCCCTTTTCCATTCTGGTCAAAATAAATACATTGGAAAATGGTTATAAAAAGATGTATAAAATCAGAGTACTTTTTTTTAAATATCAAAAGAATATGCATGAATATTGAGAAATTTTCCATCTTTGGGCAATAGAAAAGAAATTTTACAGTAAGATTTTGGAAATGAAAAAAAAAAAAAAAAGGAAAAAAATTAATATAAGATCAGGAAAAATATTAGGTACAGAATTGACTGGATCACAACACCGACCTGTATTTTTTACATAAAAATGTTAATATAAATCTTAATATTACATATACTACATATATCAGTATGAACACTTTCACTTCTTGGTAGATGTGAATGACATAAAATAGTGTGGTCTTTTTTACGATCTGATTAAAATCAGATACTCCCCTTTGCTTCTTTATGTTTGTTTTATGAC